CTCCTGCCTTTCTTTTGCCCCTTGCACCATAGGCACAGACACAGAGGCACAAGGGCAGTTCAGGCTGCAAAAATCCCTGTCCTCAAGCTCCAGTTCCACAACATTAAGTGGAGTTAGAGATCTTGCTGGACACGCTCAAGGCCGGTGAATTAAAAGGCCTTTACCCACACCCTTAGCACATCTTCTCTATCTGGGCTTTTTCATTCATGGCAATATCAGTTTTGATCAGTCTAATTAAAAAAACTCACTCATTTCCCACCATCTTACAGGGACAGAAGTTCATAAAACACATGTGTGTTGGGGAAGGCAGATCGGACTGGGAAAGATTTCAAGCGTGGAGAAAGATTTATAACCCCTTAGTGGACCTTTTGCTGCTTGAATGGACCTTTTATTACCAGAAAGGACATTTGATACTGAGATGGACACTATTCAGATTAGACTGTTTTACCCCAGTTTTCCCCGACTAATGGTTGTATTGTTATAAGGTTATATGTGCCCCTGGTTGTTGTTTTAAAACCCTGTCCACCATATTGTCTTCCTCTCCCCTCACAGTTTTCCCGCCGAAACCTGTTGTTCTCCCCTGATTTCCCGCTCCTCTGCACCTGATTGGCCAAGGTTTGCTCCAGTGCAGAGGGAGCTCCCATTGGCCCTTTCCCCTGGATACCCAGATTTACCACCCATCCTTTCCCTGACATCCAGTCCCTGCTCTCCCTGAGTTGTCAGTCCTTTTCTCCTCCCCTAGCCTGAGTCCAGCCCCTGATCCTACCCTATATAAGTCCTTGCTCATCTCAATAGACTTGGCATTGCTTCACCGACCTCAGCTGTGTCCTGAACCCTTATTGTGGTGCCCTGTCCCATTCCTCTACCCCCACCCGCCGTGGCACATGTCTAGCCAACAAGGGTTAGAAACTTTTCCCTCACCAAAGACCAGATGACTATTTCAGGCCACAGACTGCATCAGCCCTAAAAATCAACACTGTAGGAAGGATGAAATGAAAGAAACAGCACATGAAATGAAAGAAACGTGCATGTATCTGCACTGGAGCATTATTAGCACTGATATTTTAGTCATGTAAATAAGGCCACCACCTCTGCAGCAGAGCAGTCCAATCCCACATGTAGCCAGTCTGGGGCAAAGCAAAGCTTGATACTTTAGCATTCTACTAGATGACACAGCAATACTTGTCATGAGTTTGCCTGCCTCCATCCAGGGCAGTGAAATGGGAGTTTCTGCCTAATTTCTCTTCCTGCCCGCAGGACATTCAATTAAAAACCTACCCACAACAGGTCGTGGCTTAAAGTAGGTAGCTCAGCCACGTCACTGAAGATGGATACTCATTTGGGTACTCACTAAGTCGTAATAAGGCCAGGTTGTCCTCTCTCAGCATCTTGTTTGCTGTATGGAAATAGCCATTCTGTTGAGCTGGTGCTCTAGCACCTCTGAGCATCTATAATTCATATATGTACCCAGCAAATGTTGAAAAATATGCCAGAACTCAAGTCCTACATTCTTTGTTTTTCCTATCTGCATTTCCATGGCATCAGTCAGGTCTGCTGTACCCTCCTGGACCCCACAGGTGTCAGGGGCTCAGCACCACCCAACCATGCTCATTTGGATTTTTGAGTATTTTCTTCAGCTACAGAAATGCTCTTTCCTGGTCTCAGATATGCACTGTATGGCATTTGGAATAAATATCTGCAGCTGCCTTTTTGATTTTTCCCCCCCCTTCTCCTTTTCCTGGTAACATTATGTTCTCCCAGGGAGGAAAAACATTAGCTTGTTGCTTGGGATGATTCAATTACTCAGCAGTAGGTCAGAGAAAAAACCAAACATTGGATTCTTCTTCTTGCATCCTCTAAGCAAAATCCTTGCTGGAGCACAGATGAACTGGAATTTCAGAGAGCATCTTAGGACCAATAGTCCAAAGCTACTGAAATAGTTTCTTTAAAATGCTTTGTTAAAAAAGGATTTATCTACAACCAGTAGCTAAACATTCATCTTCTTAAAAATATCTGGATTCATTACTTATTATCAGGCCTAAATATTTTTCCCATTACTTGGAAAGAGGTGTGAAATTCAGCTAACACATACAAACCCTGAGTTTCATTAATAATGATGTCTGCTTTTGGAGAGTCCCATTCTCCTAGCAGATGTTTGGATAAACTAGAGCCAGATATAGACATCTCCCACAATCTTCTTCAAGATTTTGTTCAAAGGAAGACTGTGTGTCATCATTTGCTACCCCAGCTCTACACATTCCCTGGATGTTGGCACACATGAAGCGTTGCAAAAGCTGGTGAGAATTTATATTCACACAAGCATTCATGCAAGGAGTACTCATGCAGTCATCACAGCGATAGGAGATGACAAAAGGGAGGTCCCAAACAAGGGACAAAATAATGCGCAGGCAATCAGTCAGACTAGATAAATAATGAAGAAATGCACTTCTGAGAAGCTTGAAAACATTAGTACATAGCAAGGACAGGAAGCTGCACTGTGAGCAAGAATGAGGAATTGATGCAACAAAGAATTTAAGCTAAATTTTGGTGCAAAGCCAAGGGCACAGCTCAAGAAAGCCTTCATTCAGCTATTACCCGACCACAGAAACACTCAGACGTTCCTCTTCGGCACTTCTAAGGCACCAGCACTCAGCCTCAGTGCCCTGGGCTTGCCAGGATTGAGCAACCCAGTGCCTCCTTCAGCTCAGCCAGAGCAGACTGAGCAGCAGAGCTCATGTACCCAGCCAGGCAGAGCACCTGCCTTCCCAGCCTGTGGGCACAGCTGCCTAAGAGTGGCCACAAATAAAGCTGGGGCATTTTCAACAGCCTAGCACTCACAGTGTGCAGCCAAAGGTGTGAAGGAAACCTCCTCTTCAGATCTTAGTGCCAGCATGACCCAGCCATTGTGCTGGTCCACTCCAGCTCCCTGCCCTGAAATACTTCTCTGCTGCAGAAACCAAGAGGGAGGTCCACTCAGCAAGGCACAACTGGTAGAGACACAAAAGCAGGGCATCCCCCTGCCATGTTCTTCTGACTGTCTCTGTCATCCTTGGATGAGCTCCTTGGGATGGGGGATCCTGAAGGCTGCGATACAGCCAGGCCTGGGTATTGGCTGAGGCATGAGAAGGTCACAGGGAAGGATGCAATCATTAAAAAGCCTTTTTCTCAGATGTGCCTCCAAAATGCACTCTGAGGATAGTCTGAGCAAAATCCCACCTGCCTGAAGTTCCCTCAGAGAAGGTGACTTCGTTGTTCTTATAAGCTCCTGGACTATTACAGGTAACATCACCTCAAAATATCTGTCACTGTTGTCTGAGCTGCAGTAGGTCTTTCCAAAAGTGCTCTTTTCCTGGTTTATGGAGCCCAAGCAATTATGAAACTGTCACAGCTCCAAGTTAAGATCTCCTGTTTTGGCAGGAACAACCCATCCCTTTCCAGAGCAAGGTGGGTTCCTGGTTGAGTTCTCTGCTTGCTTTGTCTTAAGGTGTGCAAATCGGAAAGGCTGTGTTGTAGGGTGTGCAATCAACATGGCTCTGTTGGCTTACGTCCAGGGCAGGAGCAACAGTGCAGTCCCTGAACTGATTTGCATATTTACTTTTATGATAAACCTAATCTAAGTTATCTGGGAGTTCCCAGATGGCAGACACTTCGCAGTTTTTTATCAGAGCTGGATGTGGGCATGTGCCAGCCCTTCCCTCCCTTTACCAACACACACTGCTTCCACAGAAAAATATGCCAGTGCATATGACAAAAGCTGCAAGAGAGGACGAGTGTGGACAAGTGGCCCAAGACCCTGGAGCAAATGAAAGAGTCAGAGTATGTGCAGACTCAGACATCTCTCAGAGGGTGGGACACACAAAATACTGTGTGTGACAAGATGACTCTTGAACTATTTTTCTTGATTTTCTGTGTGGGGCCTGGATCAAATACCCCTCAGAACAACATAAATATTTTTTGAGATCTCAGTGGAAACTCAGTCAACTTCAGTAAACTTTGTCAACAACAGAAATAGAGAGATCATCACAGAGATAATATATTTTATGAAGCTTCTAATTTCTACTTCCTTAGTTTTAGTTTTTGGAGTGCTTTCTTAGAAACATATTTGTCTTTTAGTGTTTCCTCTACTCAAAAATCACAGCAGAGAAATGATACATTTAAATCTGACAACTCTGGTGGCTTATTTTCCTGTTGTCACATCTTAAATCAAAGGGGAGAAGAACGCAAGGAACAAGATTGCCTGAGAACTGAGATAAACCTCCTCCTCAGGTTCACTGTGTGCTTGGTAGGATTTGCAGATATAGACTATCTAATCATATAAATGGAGTGGTGTTTACCCACAAGAACACCATGGAGAACAACAGTGAGCAACAGTTTGCTATGGACTTATCAGCTTAGTAGGATTGGTTAAAAAAAGGTTTGGTATATTTTGGTTTTCTAGCCTACAGCTTTTCAAATATCTGTTGTTTGGGCTGAAGTTTTATTTACTGTGTACCCATTTTAGGCTGAATATCTGACGAGTTAGTCTGGATTTCAGAAATCTGTCAGAAATGAATTTATCTCTTTCCAACAAAAAGACTAAGGGGGAGGACACCTTGTTTTGCCCATGCAAAACCCAAAATTTCCTTTCTTGTATTGTTTAGGAACAAGATGTGGAACTAAGAAGTGAAGTAAATTCTGGGTCATGAACAAGGGTTTTCCCAGGCCCATGAACATTTGTCCAGATTAGTTGGTTCACAAGTTATCTCCTGACTTTGCTGCTGCTTGAAGAGGGACAAAGACCCTGCAGGAGGAAAGGGAATTTCAGCCTAAATTAAGCTCTTAGATTCACAAATTAACCACAGAGTAGCCTAGGTTATTAAGGGAAAATCAGTAAGAATAGGGATGCTAGGGGATGACCTTGCAGTGTAATGCCAGTGAAATCTTGTCCTGCCTCTTAGTGGGTTTCTTGCTTCCCCGGAGAAAACCTCAAGGTCATTGGCCTTTT